CTTTTAATAAGAGTGTATTACAGTATTCATGGCTTTTGTGACAAATCATGCATATATTTATGATAAAAGAAAATAATCAAACCACTTCTTAAAATTCAGAGTAGAACTACTAGGAACCAGGAAGTTTGAGAAGAAAGTTTTAACCATACAATTAGAAATATTACAACACCATAATATCCTCAATAGGATACGATCTATAAGAATTTGTATATTCAAGAAATTTGTGAAACTCATTTCATAGTAGTCCTAATTAATTCCTAGGCTCCCAGCAGCAAGGAAAAGAACAGTTCTCATGCTCTACACAGAGAATGCCTTTACTAATAGCACAGAAAGAAGATATAAGTCCCATTACCTTAGAAACTTTTAATAACTTGAAGTATCAACACCCATCTACTGAACACAATTCATGTTAGGAAACCAGACAAGCGGTAGTTGTAAGAGCCAGAATTGACATGTTGGCAGGTAAGAAGTCAGGTCCTTTGAGGCATCAAGCTGAGCAATATTTTTCTCATAATCTTGAACTGCAACTTGGATCTTACTAATAAATCACATGGATTTATTGCAGTATAAACATGACGTTTCAGCCCATGTAGTGAGGAGAAAATTTATAAAATATCCATGTCCATTTCTGGCTGCATTAAATGCACAGGAGAATCAAAGTTCTTCCCAATGGTCTGGCAGTCAGTTCAAACAAACAAGCGTTAATTTTCCTTATATCACATAGAGGTAATTATTTCCATCTACAGATGCTCATCCATTCAACAAGACAACTTCGGCTGCAAGCAGAGTGACCTTCGCATGTGCTTGCTTTCAATTAGAATATTGATAGATCATAAATGACCTTACAAACTTACTTTTCAACCATTAAGAGTCGTAAGATATTCAACTTAATTTAATGAATAAGCTAACGAGAAAAACTTAAAAACTGTATACACCAAAATTTCCAGAGGACGTAATCTACTTAATTCACTAGGGTTTTAGAAGGTTTAGCTTTGGACATTGACACCACATTTCCCTTTTATAATGACTATACCTCTAAGCTAAGGAATAGACAAATAGGGTACATGATGGAGTGAGAATTGTAGGGTTTCTATTTTAGCTAAACATGAAATTAATTCTGAAACACAAAAGTGGAACATGACTGAAAGAAGATATATGGGATGAAAAGCATGGAAGCCAAAGCTATCTGTAAAATGTCATTCAAATTCAGGAAGAAAAATATGCACATATATGAATAAAAACACTAAAATATACGAAATATTTAAAAACACTAAAAATATTTCACCTTTAGTAATCCCGGTAGTGTTTAACTCTTTATTTCCTAGCAGACCTATGTTAGAAAATTCAAAGGTTTCATGAATGTCAAGGGATGTCCAAGTAACAAATTAAGATTGAATGTATTTGTCACAGAAACACACTTTTTCTGACACCACCAGAATGTTGGATCATAAACTTGATCTATTATGGGAGCCTAAACCCAAACCCAAACCCAATTGATGTCATTACTTACATCATTTAATTAAAGATGTCATTGCTTACATCATTTAAGTAATGATGGCATTGCTTACATCAATTTAGTTAGGTGAGAGTTAGATATTTGTTGAATTTGTAATGGTTTAAATTAGTTTATTTGTGTGGTGTAGGATTGTTCTTGAGTAGTATAAATACCCCTTCCCATTTTAGTTTTAAGCATCAAGAAAAATTAAGAGCTTCTAAGTGAGTGAAGAAGCAAAGTCCTATAAGAGTAAGTTGTAGTTTTTGTTTTTGAGTGAGAGTGATCTTGTAATATTTGTTTGAGTTTCAATAAAAGTTGTTTGTGTGAGTGTTTTATTTCCAACACAGAACCCCAAGTACAATGCAGACCTGTATAATTGCCAACACATACTAGTGGAGAACAGGAAAATATTTTATTGACAGAAATATCATCAAGGCTTAGGAATTTAGTTCAGTGCTACTCTTACTGCTAGCGATACTTCAAATAAGAACCCAAAAAACTTGTCAAGGAAGAAAATACTAATTACTAATTGCTGAACTTGAATAATAGATACTGATGGCATAACATAAAGTTAAAAGATCAAACTACGGTAATGCTCCACAAATGTTAACAAAACTAGAAAAAAAAGAATCAATCAACACAAATCTATTACTCCCTACACAGGAAGCAAGAACACAATGATAATAAATTACATAACTCGCTAAAAATGACTAATTATAAAAAATACCACAAATAGCATCATTTTCCTTGAACTGGAAGCTTATGAGAAAACAATTCCAATGATAAAACCATCTTTTTCTAACTTTAAAGATGGTACTCCAATTTAAAATATTTCAAAGAAAAAACTCTAGAAAGCAATACTTAACATATTAATATAGGTTAGCAATTCAATTAACAAATACAGATATTGACAGTGCAAATTATACCATCTTTTCGTAACTTTAACTATGGCACTCCGATTTAGAAAAATTCAAAGAAAAAGGTCAAGAAATCAATATTTAACGCATCAATATAGGTTGAAAATTCAATTAAGAATTAAAAAGATGACAGAAGCATTTTAGAAACCTGATTAGAATAGTTACTAATACAATAAGGCTAACAAACAACAACTTAAATCAATTCGGCTACTTGTATACAAAGAGAAGAATCATAGATCAGGAATTTTAATTTTACCTCGATTTAATCAAAGTACTAAGAAATGAAGACATTGTATAACAAGATGATCCCTGCAGATAGCAGGTTTTAGACAACAATTCCCTTAGATGAATGTGTTTTTCTCATTTGAAAACATAATCAATACATACCCTTACGCTCTCTTCTTTTCATTAATCCAAGAATACTCTTGTTAATTCCAACTCATTTCATCATATCATACAACCACTTGACAATTTAACCATACAATACCATGTATTTTAATAGAGAAAAGCCCTAATTAACTGCAAGATTCTAACAGCTAAGGCAAATGGCCAAAATCCACAAAATTCACTACATTTCACTTCCTCTAATTAAAAAGTACTAGCATCGATCAAAACTAAGAAAAAGCAAAGTCAGTATTGACGATTTTAGTTTCTCGGGTGCAATTTTAGGGTTAGAGCGGAGGGATGGAAGACATAGTAGAGTATAGAAAGTTATGGTCATTAGTACTCTTCCGAAAAGGATTAAAATAGGTGAAAATACAGCAAAGCAATAGCAAGCAGAAAGCCATGAGATTACAATAACATGTACTTCCATTAATTCTGCACGATTAAGTGATGAAAACATATTAAACTCACAACTTGGACGGAGAAAATCAAACATCATAGACGATCAAATTATACGTTAACTTACACCTTTAAATTAAAAATAAAAAAGCGTCAAACCAAATTATGACAAGAACTAAAACTTACATATAAAGAATTGCGAAGAAACGCGAAAGCAAAGTAAGCACTTTCTCAAATGAAAAGTTTTTAAAGCATTTACCTAATTCAATTCTTAAAAACATTAGAAAACAGTATGTCAAGAAAAAGAATAATCAAATGAAAAATAATGAGAAAAAGGAGAGAGAGAAAAAACGAAAGGTAGAGAATCAAAAGAAAGAGTAAAGCCTACAGCCATTAACATGCAGCGATACCACCATGAAAGTTGTCAAAGAAAAGCATCCGCAGAATCATCATCAAAGCGAAGACGAAAACAAAGATGAAAACAATGAAAAAAAGTAACATACAAAGATACAGATCTAGTTTTTGAACCAAAATCGAAAGGTACTGTTAGCCTGGATTATCAAATTCGTCGTAGTGTAGAGAGGGAGAAAAACATCTTCGCCAACTTACACGAATAAAAGATCCCTTTATTATTTAAACATGGCAACTCCTTTTATATTCACTACGCAGTACGCACACAATTAGGGGAAACGTGTACACTTGAACAGCTGTGGCTTCTTTAATTTCCCAAGTGATATTAAAAAACACAAATAAAGTTTTCATGCATAAATCGATGGTCGACTATCTTTGTTGTTTGCTTCTTTTTTGTACTAAGGCTTGTTTTTCTTGACCCGTTTAGTTTCGTTGTTTGTTGTTTTAAGCCTTAGTAAAATTCGGTCAAGTATGAATTTTATATTAAATCGAATCAAAAAAAGATTTCGAGTTAGTTGAGTTAATTAGTTATATCTCATAATTGAAATTTTATTTGAATTTTTTTCGAATCTAACTTATAAAATTCGAATTGAAATTAAGTTGTTCGAGTTTATGAGGCAACATATCGTCTTGCCAACATGTACATCTCAAAAAGTTACATGAATTAAAAAGAGATCATCTCAATTGAACACCAAAATACAAATTTCTAGAAATTAAAACCACGTACCTCAATTTCTAGAAATTTTCATTTTAACAAAGATACTTTTAATTTAATCCTAGCAATATATAAAAGAATAGAATAAAATTATTAAGACATCAAATTTAACAACTGTAGTGTTGATTATAACTTTCCATCCTATTTCTCTAATTAATTTCTCACCATCCTCATTTCTCATCCTTTTCAACAATAATATATTATCACATTTGAGTCCATTATAGCTGTAGACACCCGTTTTTGACCGAACTTAAAATATATATATATATATTATAATAATAATTATTATTATTATTAATTATTATTATTTATATTAATTTTATTTTTGCAGGCCCATTGCCCCACCATTATTTCAACTACGTGCACCACCCACCTCTCCACAATTCTCGGCCACTACCCCCACTAAAAAACAAATCCCACTTTCTTTTGTTTTTTAAGGGGGCTCATTTCCATCTGAGGGGGGACCTGCACAAAGAAAAAGCACAAAAGGGGGAGAAAACAGAGCATATTTACCTGGCTTATCCGAAACCAGATTACAAACTAATGGCTCTCCTCGCCTGTTGCGGGTGAAAGCGGTTAATTATCATCATTTAAATTGGTGTCCAGTTTGTCCCCGACAATAAAAGATCGATGATGACTGTGAAAGCATCTGCCGGAAACACGTATCGCAAGCTGCGAAATGAGTGATCGCTGCAGCGGTAGATATCATAAAAAAAGTGAAAATGGAGGCAGCAAGTTTGTTAAGGACGTTTCCCCTCACGAATTTGTCAAGTCTTACGCTGCCTATCTCAAGCGCTCCGGCAAGATTGAACTTCCACCATGGACTGATATTGTGAAGACTGGTAAACTCAAGGAGCTTCCTCCCTGTGACCCTGATTGGTACTATGTCAGAGCTGCCTCCATGACTAGGAAAATATACTTGAGGGGAGGTCTTGGTGTTGGTGCCTTTAGAAGGATTTATGGAGCGGCTAAGAGAAATGGAAGTCGTCCACGCCATTTCTGCAAGAGCAGTGGTTCTGTTGCTCGACACATTCTCCAGGAATTGGAGAATATCAACATCGTTAACATTGATCCTAAAGGTGGAGGATGAATACTATGAGGAACTTGACGACTTTGATCCTTATTTGTTTATAAAGAACTTACCGGAGTTGTCATCTCTTGTTCCTGCTTTTCGGCCAGTGTTGCTACCCAATAAGACCCGAAGTTGCCCACCTACGACTCTAGTCTCTGACTTGGATGGTGAGAATACTTTTGAATAATCAAATTGGATGGACTTTTTTGCTTACAGTAGTATTATTGGCAGTATTTTAAACCTGAGCAACAAGTTATAGATTTATATTCTTTTTTTATCTTAATATTTAAGCAGATCTGAATTTACAACTGATTCTTTGCTTAGAAAAATCTAAGCTTATTTTTGAAATGTCATTAGAATTCCTTAATATTTTTTGATAGGTATATTTCCTTAGCCAATTTTAAATCCTGTTAACCTTAATTATGTTCATAAATTGTATACATGGTTGTAATTATTCGTGCGTATAATTTTGAGCATGTGACATCCCTCGGGTAGTATGTATGATACCCTCACGGCTATAATATGTTAACCTTAATTATGTGTAATTTGAGTCGGGTTTTTAAATTTTAATTTAAATTTTAATGTTCACAATCAATACAACCGGCAAATTAATTGGTACGGAAAGGGTAGTACAATGGTGCTAATCCTTCCTTGACCGTAACTGACTCTCGAACCCGTTTTAATCGAGTCTTTGTAAATACAAACCAATTTTTGGTCTTAAAAATGATTTTTCTTAAAAATGTTTTTAAAAGATGTTTTTAGGTATTCGACCTACCTAACCCAAAGGTCGATGGTGACTCTTTTTCAAATCTACCCAATTTAATTTCAAAATCCTCAATTTTTCAAAATTAAAATCGTAACAGTTTTTAAAACAATATTTAATTGTTTTACCTGAAAAATGGTTGCGACAACTTGGCGACTCTGCTAGGGACAAGTATGTGAGTCAAGCCGAAATTAATTTTCAGTTGTCTTTTTGAACGAAAATTGTAAGTTTAAATTTTAATTTCTTTATTTGATTCCAATTATTTATCTTTGATTATTTTTCAAATAAATAGTTGTACTGACGTTTTTCCCCCAATGATTTCAGATATTTAACTTTTTCCATCTAAGGCTCTATACCCGAGCTCCGAACCCTTTTAAGTGGGGGTGAAAATGATTCATTCGTGGGAATTTATTCTCCGTATGGGCCTAGCAAGTAACTTTCGAGATTCATATACCTTATGCCTTTGTGTGAATTTATTCTCTGTATGGGCATAAGGGAATGTTTCCTCTCGAGTTAAACTTAGTCCACATAAGCTTGTAATGGGCTTAGGACTAAGGGTCTAGCAAGCCCAAGGGACACCGACAAGGAGAACTCGGGTACCCTTTTTAGAACCTAAACTAGGAGAATACAAGAATTAGAGCCCACCCCAAAACCTCATTTCAAACCCTAGGCTGTGTTGAGATTATTTCCTGCTTTATTTTCTGTTCAATGGATGTGAACTAGAAATTTATGCGGTTAGGACTGGTTCGAAATTAACATTTGGGATAGAGATCGTGTCCGGGTAGGAATAATAAGCATGTGGGGTAGATATCATGTGGGGTGTGACTTTTATTTTTCATGATTGTTTTGATTATTATCTTTACCTCACTAACTCTTTTCATTTTTGTTCTCTTTCATTTTACTTTCATCATTTGCATCATTCAAAAGAAGTATTCATCCACAAAAACGTGTTTGTTAAACGTAAATAATTTGCATTAATGGACAAAGGGGTTATAATACTGTTGAGTTAATCGATCGACGGAATCGGCCAAGAGGGGGGTGAATTGACAATTAAAATTTTGGTGGAAGTTTTTGCAGAAAATTGAAAGTAATTACACAACGATTTAGAGTGGTTCGACTTTCTCAATCAAAGTCTACGTCCACTACCTTAGCTATCCACACTAAGGATTTTCCAACAAATTCACTAATTTGTTCTTTCTTTTGAGGCCAAAGAGATAACCTTACAACTCCCTCAAGAATATACCCCAATTCTTGAGAACACTCTTTCTCAAAGAGAAGATTACAAATTTGCAAACTTACAAGGAAATCTTCACAAGGTAGATTGTTTGCACAATTATAGAACAAAGAAAAGAACACTAAAAAATGAATACAATTGGGTACAAGTAGTGTTCTTGAAAGCAAAATGAACATTGAATGAAAAATAGGCTTGAAATGCTCAAACTTGAGGTTTGATGCTTTCTCTTTGATTATCTTGTTGATTGTTGTTTCTTGTTTTTGATCAATGGATTCTAAGCTTGTTTAAATACACCTTCAAATGATTCTGAACGTTGGGGATGCTTAGTGGAGTCAATAGAGCCATTTAAGTGTGAAAACAATTAATTAAAGTAGTTGGGAGCGTCGTGCATCGATGCATACCCATGGTGCATCGGTGCATCAGTGTAAAATTCAAATATTTTGACCGTTGGACCCCTAGTGCATCGGTGCACTAAGACTGCATCGATGCATCAAGTGCATTCGATGTTTCAAAATAGCCAGAGTGCATCGATGCATGGTATGTGCATCGATGCATGGTATGTGCATCGATGCATGAAATGCATTTGATGTTCAATTTAATTCGTGGTGCATCGATGCATGGATTGGTGCATCGTTGCATCACTTTGATAAATTGATTTTAGGCTTGATTTTGGTTTAAAATACTTTATGAAATTTGTTTCAAAAATTGTTTAAGTATAGAACACATTTTTACACATTTAGTAAGGTTTGAATTTGAACTAGAAAGACTTGGAGTTATAAATTGATATTCGATTAATTAAATCGAATATACTTAGAAAATCATTTATAAAATCTTAAAATTCATTTAAACTTAATTTGTTATATCGAAACAAAAAAATGTTTTCAACAATCTCCCCCTTTTTGATATAACAAAACATTTGTGTTATTTTAAGATTTTCTAAAATTTTGAAATCAATTTTGAAAAATTACTCCCTTTACTACAACACTTCTCCCCTTTAACACTTTTACACTTCTCCCCCTTTCTGTTAAATCAAAAGACATTAAAATGCTTTAAACAAGGTTTTGAAAAGCATAGCCAATTGATTTTAATATATATATATATATATCTTAAGCTGCTAAGATCACAATCAAAAGAGAGATTAGCCATTAGTTCTAAATCAATATTCATAAACAAATGTGAAATGCATAATTGGTCATATATATCTAATGATGCAAAAATAAGAAAATTCAACCAAACCAAATATATATATATATATATATATATTAAGTTCAAAATCCAATCATCCAAACCATAACAAATTCAAGCATTTAACAATCCAAAACAAACAATCCAGAAATATCAAAATCAATCCAAATTTGAAATACTAAGAAAGCATGGAGAAAAGGTCTAATCCATCGGAGGGTCGGAAGGAGGAGGATAATGAGCTCGAACTTCAAGAGTGAGCGCGTCCATACGTTCACGCATCTCTCGCTGAAACTCAATAATCTGAGACTCCATGGAGGTAAACCTCAGATCAAACCATTTCAAGAAGGATCGAAAATATGGTGGCATTTGATCTTCTTGCCGTGCCGGTTCCAGTGCAGGCTCATCGTCTGGAACGTGATCGTCGATATCTTGCATAAGTTGTTGAAACTCAGGATCATCGTCAGCAGCCGGTGCCGGAGGAGAAGCACGGGAAAAGCTAGGAGCAGCTCGTGAAGAGCTAGCTCCCGGAGTTTGCTTACCGGGGTCGAAATACCCAAAGACCGGTTTCCTCGTCTTGTTTCCAATCCGCTTTCTTCAAGGAAGTAAGATTGATTTGATTTTGGAGTGAATAGGATTGTCCAGAGAGACGTTTAGACTGAGTTTGATAAAGAGGTTACTCAGAAGACATCCATAAATCAATGTTTCAACATGTTTTGAAGGAACAATGTTTATGATATCCACTAGTTGACTAAAAATAATGTGGGGCAGATTTATTTTGATCTTATTTTTAATACAGTGCATCCACCATAAATCCCTAGCACGAAGAGTGGAGTACCTACCTCCGGATGGTCTAAACCACCAAGAGATCATCAAATGAAGAAAACGATCGTGATGAGATCGTAGAGTACTAACACTAGAATTTGGAACATAAGGATATTCCACATTTTCATTCTCATTATATAACCTATCATCATCTAACCCAAAACGGAAAGCTATAGTCTCGGGGTCAATATTAATATATTGGCCTAAAAGATAGGATCTAATGGCTATAGTCCCACATTGAGTTTCGTTTTGAATACATACTGCATTGGAATAGAAAATGCAGACTAACTGTTGATAAACGATAGGTTTGAGCTGAAATGTTTTATCAAACTTCCAAGCTTTAAGAATCGGAAGGTATTCAAAGTCAATATCTATCATAGCTTGAAGAGAATGAATACGCTCTTCCCGGATTCTATAAGATTGAAAAGAATTTATGTACCTAGAGTACAATTCGTCTCTACGACACGCAGGCATGTTAAAACAAGATCCTAATAGAGATGTAGGTGGAGGAGGAACGAGATTAGGAGGTTGGCTTGAACGAGAACGACTCGATGAAGTTCTGGGGCATTTCGGATTAGACATGGTTTAGGAGTCGGAAAAAGGAATATAACCTGCAAATTGAAACACATGTATGCAATTTAATCAATCCCAAAACTCAATTGAGTCCGCAATAATTCAAGGTTCTCTAAATTGAATCCTAATGGGCATAGTTTTGAAAACTATTTGAAAACAATTTTTGTAAAATCATAATATGTATAGTTTTTATGAAAACAACATAATTAAATCAAAAACATCAAATTTAAAAATTAAATTCAAATTTTCGATTTTTTTTATTTCGAAAATTCAAAAATTTCTTTGAAAATTTGTGAGTTTTGATGAAATTGGTTGTAAAATCTAGTTTGTAATCATCAAACAATCAATGCCTGATAAAATGTTCATCCTATAACTAATTAAAACTAGTCCTAAGATTAGAATATGATAAAATAGAGGTTTTTGAAATATTACCTTGAAAAT